TATCCCCTCTCCACCACCACTGGTGGCAGTGGCACAGGCACCAACAGCACCAGCAGCAGCACCAACAGCACCAGCAGCAGCACGAATAGCACCAGCAGCAGCAACAATAGCACCAGCAGCGGCACCAACAGCACCAGGGGCACCACCACCACCACCACCACCATCACCAGCAGTACAAACACCAACAGCAGCAGCAACAGCACGGCTAAAATATCACAAACCAGTGGCAGCAGCAGCAGCACCAGCAGCAGTGGGATGGCTACTGCAAAGGGTTTAGGGGCAAGACTAGCAAGCATCAGAAGCAGCAAAGAGAACACAGGCACGAATGGCAGCAGTGCAGGCAATGGCAAGAGTGGCAGCAGTGGCGGCAGCAAGAATGGCAGCACCAAGAGCAAGAGTGGCAGCAGCAAGAGCAAGAGTGGCAGCAGTGGAACCAGCAAGCAGAGCAGCAGTGGCAGAAGCAAAAGGGGCAGCAATAGCGATGCTGTTAGCAACACAGAGAGAAGGACAGCAGGAGCTAACAGTGGTGGTAGTACTGCTGCTGCTACCGCTGCTGCTGGTGGTGACGGTGAGGAGGGCCGAAAGGGCGTGCAGATGAAGCAGAGATGGCAGGATGGGGAAGGGAACGACAAGCCATGATGGAAGCAAAGGCATTCGTTGGTTCAAGGATCCGAGCAACGGGAGTTGCATGCCTTGACTAATCCCTGGCAGGCTTGATACAATAATTGGCTAAGAAATTCTACTTGGTGATATGAACAATGGGGTCTTGGCTGGTGAGCGTAGGAGCAGGAGTGTGTAAAAGTCAAAGTGCATAGAGCCCATGTGTATACAGTAGCTGGTGTACACTGTACACCATGAAATGTGATGCTGCGTCTCTTATGAGGTACCACCGCGACAACGCGTACTGGAACCGTACATGGAATTTAAGCATGAGCGACCTACCACGTGGAATTTAAGCACTGATGCCTACAATGCTGGTATTGCCAGCAATGCATTATGCTTGGCAGCGCCTTTGCATGTTTGGCCTTTACACACTGCTAGTGTGTCACCAACACAGTTGGGTCAGCAGTGTGTCTTGATTGCTCATCCATAACTGCCTGTGTTGCTGTAGCTTCAGTTGGCTAAGAGCACGATAAAAGAGGACTCTAAGAACGTGATATGGTTCACTGGGAGATCCAGTGCCAATATTTCTTGCTGGTTCAACATAAAAATCTGTGAACCCTCCTTGCCCGTCTTCCCAGCAGTCCCACCAATGCTCGCTCGCCCCCAATACTGCTGTCACCTCAACCACTTTTGCTCATCATAACACCTCTCCTCCTCAAACCCAAACTCCCTCACAAACTCCTCTATAAGCACATCCGTTACTGTGTCCACATCCACATCTACACTCACACCTGAAAGTGCATTTGCTCCCGTTCCCTCGCTCCTCTCATTCCCCGCCTCCTCCACGCCTCCTATCCTCCTAACCTTCCCAGCCAACCGCCTTCTTTCCTCATTTAAAGACGTCACGGCTTTACCCTCTAGTCCACAGGGCACTATAAGCTTAAAGAACGAAAGGTCTGTGCTTATATTGAAGGCCAAACCGTGTCTTGTCACACCTCCTGATATCTGCACACCAACAGCACCAATTTTCCTTCCTGAACCTCCTTCTGAAGTAGTGTTGGAAACACCACCTGAAATACCACCTGAACCATCAAAGCCTGCACATTCGCCATCAGAACCCTCCTCGTCCCATCCCACCCACACCCCCGTCATTCCCGGAACTCTTCCCCGAGCCTCCACACCGAACCTCGCAGAACCCCGAACCATCACGTCCTCCAGGCCCTCCACGTAACGCCGCGCGCCGAGCCTCAGGTCCGGCAGCCGAAGCACGGGATACAGCACAGCCTGGCCGGGGCCGTGAAACGTGGCGTCACCGCCGCGCGCGGTTCTATGGACCTCCACGCCCCTCGCCGCTAACTCATCATCTCCAGCAATTATATGACTCGCGCCGATTGCTTGTCGCTTACCGATCGTTACTACTGGCGGATGTTGCAGGGCGAGGAGTAGGTCTGGAGATGGCGGGATTCTGGGGGAATCTGCGGAATCGGGGGGAGAGGGGGAGGCGGACGCGGATGCGGACGCGGCGGTGGCGGAGCGACCAACGCGGCGAGCGGCGGCGCGGGCTTGCAGATCGAGCGCCGTGAGATACGGCGTGACGCCGAGGCGCAGAACGCGGAGTATTGGGGGCGCCATGAGGATGCAATGCGAGTCAGGAAAAGGTCAAGGAACGAGGGTGGAGAAGAAAATGTTAGAAGCGGGTGCGTTGTTGGCGGGAATAGAGAATGTTTTTTCCTCTATAAAGCTATTCATACAGTTTCCAGCCTCAGTTGAAGTGAAGTGACCTATTTTTCAGTTGCACATGGAGTGCCAAGATTGCATATAGTAACCTCATAAAACTAACACATTGAATGTTATCATATATATATATGCATATAGTATAGAGAACACACTTACATTCAAGCCACAATGTGTAGGTAGTGTTACTATATTCTACCTCGCGCCTGGCCTCGAACAAAAGTAGCTTGCAAAGGCATCTCAGGGTCACAATTCCCCGTCTCAAAAGCAGACATGGGCCGATCGGCATAATACACGGCGGTGCTTGAATACCCAGATAGAGAAAGAACATACGCATCGCATGAGGCCAGCAACAACCATTCCGTTACCAGCTCTTGGAACTGTCTCTCCCGCTCCCGCTTTGCCTCTTCCTGCTGTAGCCTGTCAAACTTTCCTTGACTTACAGTAGAGGAGCCATTGCCGATGCTGCTAGAGCTCAGACTATTGGAGTGCCAAGGTATGAAATCGGTTGTGACAACCTGGCAGGTGTAGAAAAAGGAGGAGAGAACAAGGGAGCAAAAGACTGAACTGAGGAATCAAAGGATCATCTTGTCCCCAACTCTTTTCAAAATGAGGAATCGGCTATTTAGACAAATAGACACCAAGTATGATCATCAAGAGCTCAATCCCAGAGAGGGAGCATTCTACAAGGCACAAGGAGAGCCGAGTGCTAGCTCTCCCCCCCTCCCCTTTCCTCCAGTCCACCACACCCACACACACACACACCCTCTCCTCCCCACCCCCTCTCCCCCCCTCCACCCCCACCACCCCCTCCACCCCCTCCACCCTCACACACACACACACACACACACACACACACACACACACACACACACACACACACACACACACACACACACACACACACACACACACACACACACACACACACACACACACACACACACACACACACACACACACACACACACACACACACACACACACACACACACACACACACACACACACACACACACACACACACACACACACACACACACACACACACACACACACACACACACACACACACACACACACACACACACACACACACACACACACACACACACACACACACACACACACACACACACACACACACACACACACACACACACACACACACACACACACACACACACACACACACACACACACACACACACCTTGGAGGGAAACCTGGATTTGATGGCCGCCTTGAGCTGCGCTGAGTTGGTGACGAGCATCCAGCGCACCAAAACGGACGATGGAAACCAGAACTCCTCCACCCGCTGGTGCGATGGGGAAACAGGGCGAGGAAGATGATGGGAGACAGTCGGAAAGGGGATGCGGGGAGAGATGAGGGAAGGCGAGGATAGACAGGACGATGTGACCCCATGCGCTTGCACACGCTTGGGATTGGCGGATGAGGGGTTGGGGAATGAGGGGTTGGGGAATGAGGGGTTGGGAAACGGGAGTTGGGGAATGAGGGGTTGGGGAAAGAATGGAGAGAGAGGATGCTCATCTTAGACCTATGGACGGTTCACTAACATAACAGAGAAGATGGATGCAGGAAAATGAATCAAAAACTGTAAAGAAAAGAAAAGAAAAGAAACTCTACGCAAGAGTGAAAAGGATAACAATACCCTTCACCTCTCCGCCTCATGGCCCACCCAAAACCCAAACCCTGAAACCCCAAACCCTTCCCTGCCCAACTTCCCCACTTCCACACTCCCCAACCCCCTCCCCTCGACTCACCCGGGCGCACAGAATCCACTTCCTGGCGTGAGCAAGCAGCACGTCAACCTGATCCGCAGTGAGCTCCTTGGGCTTGCCCCTGTCACCCGCCCACACCACAGAGTCGTTCACCCGGATGTGAATCCCCACTGTCGCCACCCTGGGCCTCCTCAGCCCTCCTCTTGCGACCCACGGCCTTCTGCGCAGGCGCTGCTCAATGCTCTGGAAAAGCGCTTGCACCTCTGGCTTGGGCCTGCCGGGGGGTTGTTGAGAGAGGGGATGGGGAGAGGGGAGGGAGAGGGGAGGCGGGGATGGGGAAGAGGGCTTGCACCTCTAATTTGGGACTGGAAAGAGTGTTTGAAGGGGATTGATGGGAGGCTGGAAGAGGGAGGAGGGAGGAGGGAGGAGGGAGAGCGGAGAATGGGGAATGGGGAGGGGATGGGGAATGGTGAGAACAGGAGCAGGTGTGAAGACAAGTGGGTGGAGAAGTAAGGGATTGGAGAATGGGGAGCGGGATTGCTGTTTTGTCTCTCCTCTGACAACCCGTACCCCCTGTCCCCCTCCCTCCCTCCCCCCCCTTACCGCATGAGGAACCGCAGCGAGCACCCGAGTGCGTAGGGTAGGCGCATGCCCATCGCCTTGAACCGCTCAGCCCACTCCCCCTCCCCCTTCATCTGCAGCCACGTCAGCACGCCGCGGTTGCTCGTCATGCGCACGTTCACTGCCCCTTCCAGCTCCCTAAAAAACGGCTCGATCTTGACAAACTTATTCCGCAGCCACAGCCACACCACCTCCCCGTCGCGCGCGCGCTCCGGGACCGTCCTCCCCTCGCTATCCTCCACCAGCGCGAGTTTCCGCGCAGGTTCCAAGGGCACGAAGGGGCCGGGTGTCCAGTTGATCATGTTGGGCTCGAAGGCTGCGGGGAGGCAGTCGTTGCGTATTATGAGGGCGCGGTTGTCGAGTACAGCCGCGACGAATGCGGTTACCAGCCCCGCGAGCACGTCCGCGAAGCCGCCACAGCCGTCCAGCCACTCGAATGTGAGGAAGCGGATGGGAGGGTCTTGTGGGGATGGGGGAGTGGGGGGGAGGGATGGAGAGGAGGGGGGGGACGGGGAGGAGGAGGAGGAGGAGGAGGAGGAGGAGGAGGAGGAGGAGGAGGAGGAGGAGGAGGAGGAGGAGGAGGAGGAGGAGGAGGAGGAGGAGGAGGAGGAGGAGGAGGAGGAGGGAACAGACGTATTTTGAGGTGCTTCTTGCAACTTCCGCCGCCGTTTCAACTGCTGCTGATTCTCCTGCTTTTGCTGCTCCTGCTTTTGCTGCTGCTTCTGCAGCTTCTGCTGCTGCTTCTTCTCCTTCTGCTCCTTCTCCTGCTTCTGCTCCTGCTCCTTCCTCTGCCCCTGCTTCTGCTTCTGCTTCTGCTCATGGTTCGGTTTTTTCTTCGGCTTCTGCCCCCCCTCCTCCTCCACCTCCTCCGTCTCCGCCACCTTTCCCTCCTCCATACCTTCCTTCTTCTGCATCTCCCGCTCTCCCCCCTCAGGCGTACCCACCCGCTGCCGTGTCACAGAAGTCTTTACCACTAGAGAGGGCAATCCCTGCTCGTTTTCCCCTGGCGTCTTCGCCTGTTGCCGTGTCATATTTGACTTATCTACTAAAGGTCCCTCAGAAGGCACTTCCTTTTTGCCCTTCCTTGTCTTCTCCGCCTGTTGCCGCGCCAGATACGCTTCGAAAGCGCGTTCCAGTATTCGACTGTGCAATGCGGCGTAGTCACTAGCCCACGACCCGCATAACCCGTCTGTTTCGGAGAAATTGAAGTTCAGAAAGCGCGACACGCGATCCCGCTGTCGCAGGTGCCGTTCCTGAGACTGGCAGGTGAATGCAGGCGTGAAAAGAGAAAAACACGAACCAAATGAACAGATAGAAAGCACAGGTTGAGAGAGAGAGAGAGCGCGGGAGGGGGGAAAGAGGGCGAAGGAGAGTGGGGAGGGAGGGAAAGGGTGAGGGAGAATGCAGGGGTAGAAAAGGAGGTAGGGAATGTCCAAACCTGTGGTTGCATGTATCGCTTCCCGATCCGTAATCCCTTACCGCGATGCGCTGGGTTGTAGTCAGCGAAGCGAACGCAAGAACGAAATGCAGAACAACGAGCAGCCGCGCAGTCGACCCGCGAAACGCAATTCCGGTAGGAGGTTGTCCCGAGGTCATGTTTGGCTCTCGCGGAGAGAGAATCAGTGAACACGGGAGGCTGAATGTGGCGAACGACAAGATCGAGGGGAATGAGCAACACGAGTTAGATTCGTAGGACGAGAAAAATCAAGGGGATTTCGACACCTAGAGGATTTAACGCTGGATAACTTCCAGGGTACGGGCCCCGTCGCGTGGTTTGACGAAGAGTGTGCAAACGTTGTAGCAGAGATATGATGCGACATGCTGGGGACTCACTACTCACATATTTGTGATAAGGCATACAACACTGCTCGCTGAATGGGTGTCCCACTGGTTGGCTGTGAGTGGTCGCAAACCGTATTCGAGCGCGGTTCAAAGAGTTTGATCGCATTCCAGAGCGTTTTAAAAAGAACTTTCAGGACCCACGTCGTCACTCTCTCGAACTCTTGCCCATCCTGCGGTGCCTTACTTCTCCCGCCTCGAAATTTGCATTCCCAAACGTTTTCCCTCCTTCTCAAGGCACTTTCGCCTCTGGGATTGGCTCCTGAGCGAACAAGCTCTCTGACACAACCTGCGTCGCAGGGGGTCTAGGGTGCATTCCTACGCAGGGACGCCATCTGAGGGTCACCGAAACTGAGATAATTCCGCACCTGTTATCTTCACACCCCTGGGTAACCTCCCTCATCTAATTGATTTCGAGGGTGGTTAGCATCATGATTCGAGTTATCGGGGTTACAATGACGCAATCTCGTCGCGAGCTTTTTGGAAGTACAAACATGGCAGAGGTGATTTCCCACTCAATCCTGCTATAAAGTGTTAGTTTCATGAGTCTGGATTACTGCTCACCATATTTATTGATTAGACATGTAATCTCGGGGTGCTCGTCTAGTCGAACCGAAAACCATATAGGGTGTTTGGCCAAGGAAGCGTACGGAGGGTGGAATTATCGCAGTTCCGGTGTACGTTCTTAGACTGTGTCAAGTTTCTTGGCACAAGGCTATCAACGGCTCCGATCTTTCCACGTCATCATTAATGAAATCCGAACCGTTCTCAGCTTCATGTTAGCCTGCCTGACACAAGCTAAGAACGTACCCTGAATATCTCAGCGGATGGCATGCGATCCAAGGGAGGCATCAACCCTAAACATATCCTCCAGGTGTTTAGGGTTGATGCCTCCATGACCGGATGCATGCCTGAATGTGTCAAACTTATATGCTGTAGTCTTTATAGGTTCTAGTGGGGTTGATAATACGGGGTACAACACTTTTAGGTTTTCTACTTGTACCCAACTGTTTCCTAGTCGATTCATTCACTGGTACTTTTCTCACATGGTATAGAGCAGGTTCCCTAATGGGACTGTTTTCTTAGGGTCCACTATTTTTTTTTCTTGCCCTGCCCGAAGCGCGCTCCTGTGCCTGCCCGCCCTGTCGCGCGCCTCGCGCCTACCCCTCCTGCGCCCCGTGCGCCTGCCCTGCAGCCGTCGCGGCCCTGCCGTCCCGGCCCTGCCGTCGCGGCCCTACCCTGCCGTCCCGGCCCTGCCGTCGCGGCCTTGCCTGCCGTCCCGGCCCTACCCTGCCGTCGCGGCCCCACCTGCCGTCCCGGCCCTACCCTGCCGTCGCGGCCCTGCCTGACGCTGCCGCGGCCCTGCCTGGAGCCGTCGCGGCCCTGCCCTGCAGCCGCTATCGCGGCCCTGCCTCCCGCCGTCGCGGCCCTGCCGGTCGCCGCCACAGCCCTTCCTGCAACCGCCGTCTCAGCCCTGCCTCCAGCCGCGGTTGCGGCCCTTCCTGCAACCGCAGTCGCGGCCCTGCCTCCAGCCGCAGTTGCGGCCCTGCCTGCAGCCGCATCGCGGCCCTATCCTGCCGCCTCGTCGCGGCCCTGCCTGTCGCGGCCCCTGCCCTACCGGCCCGCCATGACCCTGCCCTTCCAGTCGCGGCCCTACACCGATCCCGCCCCTGGTAAGTGCACCGCCGCACCCGCGCCGCCCTACCGAGCCGCGCCGCCCTACCGAGCCGCGCCGCCCTGCCAAGTCGAGCCGCCGCTGCTGCTGCTACTGCTACTGCTCCTGCCGCCATGGCTAGCCCTAATGTCCTTACCTTCGATGCTGAGGGTCGAGCAGTCGATTTCGAGGTCTGGGTCGATGATCTGCAGCTTTTCCTGCAGTGCGACTCTAGGGACGGAGTCTCACTGTTCGATCACACGTCCGGCGTCTCTGTTGCACCTGCTGGCGATGCTGACAGTGCAGTTCGCTCGCAGTGGACCACGCGCGATGCTGCTGCCCGTCTTGCTGTCCGTAGTCACCTGCCGTCTGTTGAGCCCGCGCACTTTAGCTAGTACAAGACTGCTCAGACTCTATACGACGCTGTTGTTGCGCGTTACTCCTCCCCTGCCACTGTTGCCCTTAGCCGCCTCATGCTGCCGTACCTGTTCCCTGACCTAGCCGCCTTTGCCACAGTCGCTGACCTCATAACGCACCTCCGAACTAGTGACATCCGCTACCGCGCTGCGCTTCTTGCCGAATTTTGCGTCAAGAACCCCCCCCCTATGTACATCACTCTCTACTACCTCGTCACCCAGCTCCCTGACTCCCTTCGCTCGGTCAGGGACCACTTTTTCTCCCTTTGCCCCACCACGCTCACCGTTGACCTCCTCGAGGAGCGCCTCCTTACATCTGAGAAGAGTATAGTCGCTGTAGGAGCCTCTCGTGGTGACCCTCGTGCCCCTTTCTTAGAGGGGTGCTCCCCCGTCCCCCTTTTGCCCTTTGTTGCCTCTGCTGCCACTGTCGACCTCGTTGGCACCGAGTCGGTCGGCACTGCGTCTGCTCCTAGTGGGAGGCGCCGCAGCGGCAGGAGCAAGGGGGGCAAGGGTGCTGGAGGAGACGGCGGGGGCGGTGGTGGTGGGGGTGGAGGAGGCGGAGGGGGTGGGGGTGGAGGTGGGGGTGGTGGCGTGAGTGGGGGCGTCGGTGGCAGTGGTGGAGGTGGAGGCGGCGGCGGCAGCGGCAGTGGGGGTGGCGGCGGCAGTGGTGCTGGTCAGGGTGGCGCTGTGCAGCGGGAAGGCTTTGGTGGTGGCCAGCGCCAGCAGCGGCAGCAACGTTCTCGTGAGACCTTGTCGCCCCAGCAGCTTCGTGAGTGGTAGGCTAGGCGTGGGAGGTCTGGGAGTGCTGGTCCCTGTGCTTACGTTCTTTGCACCGGCGAGCGCAGTGGGGAGATGTGTGGAGGGCCGCACGCCACGCATCGCTGTTTCGACCACCTGACTGACGCCTGGCGTGCGCAGTTCCCTGACGCCACTGAGATCCGTCGCTGGGGTGATCTGCTTAAGTCGGGGGTTGCTATCTTTGATCTTGATTATGATGGTATCCTTGCTGCTATGTATGCTGTGTCTATTAGTGCTGAGGGTGACTGTTACCTGTGTGTTCCACCCGACCCGAGCATTGAGGCTGCTGCTCTAGGTGCTAGTGAGTCTGCTGCTCCAAGTGCTGGTGAGTCTGTTCTCTCAGGTACCGCGTCCGCTCCCCATTTTGTGTGGCCGTTCGCGGTTCAGTACGGCGCGTCAGCTCAACCTCCAGCCCCGGGTCTCCATGTCAGAGACCACACCTACTCTGCGGTGAACGGGGAAGGTTGGCGATGCGTCCGCGTTCCGTGTCGGGGGATCCCGAGCTTTCGTGAGCGACTTGTCTGCAGACAAGTTGTCCTCCAGTGCTGTTCCCTGCGTCTTCCTTGGCTTCCCCCCTGACGCGCCTGGTTGGCAG